CCAAAAATCATTAGGATGTTAAGTAAAGATCATGTTCCATGAAGATATTTTGTAAATTTCCTACTGTAAATATATCAAAACTTAATTTTTGATTAGTAATATGCATTGCTAAGAACTTCATTTGAACAACTTTAAAGATGATTTTCTCAATATTTAGATTTTTTTGCACCCTCAGATTCCAGATTTTCAAATAGTTGTATCTCAGCCAAATATTGTCCGATCCTAACAAACCATACATCAATGGAAAGATTATTTATTCAGCTTTCAGATGATGTATAAATCTCAATTTCGAAAAATGTACCCTTATGACTGGTTTCGTGCTCCAGGGTCACATATGTCACTTAAAATGAGAGAAACTCAAACTAAACCTGCTTGATTTGAGCTTTGCATTTTTTAAAATTTAATAAAGGTGCCAATAGGGTGTTTTTGCCATAGAAGAGCCATTTTTAGTTCCTCAGAGAACCTTTCAGTGGCCACTTCTTAAAAGAACCATTTTTTTTCTTAGTTGAAGAACATTTAAAATTCTAAAGAACATTTTCTGCTACATTGTTAAAAATAAAGGTTCTTCATTGGCATCCATAGAATCAGTAAACCTTCTTTATAGTAGAAAAAGATTCTTTAGATTATTAGAATGTTCTTTACACTAAAAAAAGATGATGCTAACTGAAAGCTTCTTTGGACCATGTGGCAAAACAATTTATTTTATTTAAAATATACAAAAAATGCAAATAAAAATTGTAAAATTCAAAATAAGTTTTTGGTAGTAAATTGATTTTTTTGATATATTTTTGAAAATATATTTTTAAAATATAAATATATTTTTAAAACCATTTAAAATATATTTTGCCATCCATATATTTAAATCCAAGAAAATACATTCACGTGTCACATTTGAAGAAAAGCTTTATTCACTGTAAAAACAAATTCCACCTACTTCAACTTTTACACTTCAGTTAAGTTGCTGCCTTAATTTTTGAAGACATTTCATCTTAAATTATATTAAACTGACTTTAAAAATTGAGTTGAATCTTGTATAACTTGAAAAATGAAGTTGATACTGGTTAAATTCGTTGAGCTAAACGTAATGTAAACATATATGACTTATTGATCATATCATTTTTTACAGTGTTTGTTGTCCATAACATGTGACATACTGGCATTTTCCATCCACATTTGGATTTAGCCTAAATATAGGCTATACTGTAAGATTGGAAATGTATTTTCTTGCTCCTGAAATACATTTTAAAATATGAAATGTGGGAAACCAAAAATAATTCTTCTATGGCATTGTTGCAAAAAAACACCTTTCGGAACCTTGACTGTTAAGAGTGTATAAAGATCCTTTTGTCCAATGGATGTTAACGTTTTGTAGATGCCAGTACAGTCAAATAGCACCGATTGTATCCAAAACGAGTGTGAATATTCGAGCCCCTGATGGCCACATGCCGTGCGAGCCACAGCCACGTTCTCTTCCACAGCGGTGATAAGGAGGTGTGAAAAAGCGAGACGTATTCGACCCCTCACTCAGGATGAGACCTCACTCCAAGTGCTGTGTCAGATTCCTGAGCGCCAACAGCAACGGTCTCCAACGATGCCTTCGCTTCCTCCTGCGACGGGCCAGTGTGAACTTTAGGGCCAGTGTGAAGCGCATGTAAAAATAGGCCCCAATGTAGTGTGTTAACTTTTTCCACTATAAAGGACCTTTAGTGAATCCATGGATGTTAAAGGTTCTTCATGGAACCATCGATGCCAATGAGGAACCTTTATTTTTAAGAGTGAGGCATCTTTGACTGCATTTTTAGAACTTTGGTTGGAAGATTTCAATGTACAGTTCTTAAAGGGTTAGTTCACCCAAAAATGCAAATCAGTGCATAAATTACTCACCCCCGAGGCATCCTAGGTGTATATGACTTTCTTCTTTCAGATGAATCCAGTTGGAGTTATATTAAAAATTGTCTTTGATCTTTCAAGCTGTTTAATGCCACTCAGCGGGTGTTGCATGCATCAGTCCAAAAGAAGTTAAATAAAAAGCGCCCATCCATAAAAAAGTGTCTCACACGGCTCCGGGGGATGAACAAAGGCCTCGATGCGTTTTTGTAATAATAATCACTTTAATGTAGCTTGCGCTTACTGTTGTACACAGAAGCAGCTCCGGGCGGATGACGTATGAGTTTAGCGCTGCGCATGCGCCGGTGAGTCTCGTGAAAACCAACGTTTGTTAACAGAAGCAAAGGAAGCAAAGTTTCCTTACTTTAGCAAAGGAAAACAAGTCTCCTCTTGGCTTATATCGAAATCCTCCGACGCAGCCTAATTTTCATTTTTGGGTGAACTAACCCTTTAAAATAACAATTGTTTTCTAAGTGTGAAAAGCATTTTAATAATCTATTGAACCTTTTTCCATTATAAAGAGCCTTTTGTGCAATGAAAAGGTTCCGTCGGTGTTGCCAGATTGGTGATTTTCCTGCACAATTGGGCTATTTTGAAAATTCAGTTTCGGGAAAAATAGAGCCACGGGTTGGATATTTTTGTACCATAGCCACCAAAAAGTTTATATGTAGACAAAGAAAATGAAAATACATCATTTTACTAATGTGTGTTGATTCTTGGAATACCTAGCAACCCAAGGGCCGAAGATTATGTTGACTTTTTATAATGGTCTTGACTGAGATCAGAAAATATCAGTTTTTCATTTATTGTTATGAAGATGTGTACAATCTACATTATTCTTAAAAGAATTGGGGAAGTGCACAGACGATACATCTTTTCAAGCAAAAACGTATAGACATACGACTATAAAGGGGATGATACTACACGGGGCAACTTTTTTGAGCAATGTTGCTTGGGCACTTTCCCATTGACAACGGGTAACTAATTTCTATCTGGATACTTTAGATCGATCGTGTGTCTCACCTGGTTTCCGGTTGATGGCAACATTGCCCAGCAAAACTGCTCAAAAAGTTGTCCCGTGTATCGTAGGCTTAAAGCGTAAAGGTAGAAATAAATGATAAACAAAGTGATTTTCTGCGTTGAAACGATGTGAAAAGTGCAATATAAATAGCTTAAATTTGACTTGACTTGTATAGCTTACATTTAAATAAACAATTTATCATGCAAAGTGCTGGGAAATAAAACCAAAGGCTGAGTAAAATAATTAAAAGTACCAAAAAAAAAAGTACTGCAGAGGATAAAATACAGATTAAGCTGTCAACTGAGATTTTTTTTTCCTCCTGGGATCTGGCAACCCCAACATCCTGGCACAAAATTACAGTCCATTTTCCATTTTTCTATGTTTTATTTCCTTGCAGTGTTAAATCTGACATGAAATGTATTTATTCTTGATTGCCGAGCCTTCCAGAGTTTGTTGGTTTGTCTGTGTGTAATGTGAATAAACCTGCAGATGCTCACTCAAGCAAACGTTCTCTCATGTGTCAATAAATCTGTTTAAACTGGACGTCTTATCTGAAGCACTAAGTGTTTCAGTGTAAAGACCTTTAGCAGTGGAGATACAGAGGCATATCGGGAGCCATACACTACAGAACTGATATACAGTACACACACACGACACGGGAAATCATTCCTCAGCACTGCTTGGAAAAACACACACAGCAGGCTACATAGTTATAAATATTAACTGCAGGAGGTGTAGCCTGAAGCCTTATACCCTATTATAACTTTTCATTATAATTCTAAAAATAATTAAAATAAATCTAATTTAATTTAAATAAATAAATAATATATTAATAAAATGCACTGATTGTAAGACAAAAAATTAAATTAAATTATATGCATAATAAATTAGTAAAAAAAAAAAAAAAAAAACGTTGGACCAAAATAATTAAAAAAAAACGCAAAATTTTAAATGATTAATTTGAGTTATATGTATCACCTTATTTTAAACTTTTTTTTGTTTTGCAAAGTAAACTACACATTCTAACTAAATTTGAATAAAATTACAAATTGATAAAAAAAATCTAATTTAAAGCAATAAATAATGAATGATATTCAATGATATTTGATTAATAAATAAAAAAGATTAGGTTTAAATACATAATATATATTATGTAAACACAAAATATTGGATTAAATGAATAAAAAAATATATAACTAGGCTATATTATTAATACACTTGTTTCAAGTATTACTTATTCATTTTTGAGTGATATATTTGTTTATCACCTTGTTTTTAAACTGTTTCTTTTTTTTAAAGAAATGATTTTAAAAAGCACGTAGTTGATGGGTGAAACGGAGCTTTTCTATCAACTCATAATCAGTTAAACCATTGCGTTGAAATATGATTCACTGTTTCGGAGTGCTCGATTCAGAGCGCGTATCGCGAATCATTTGATTCGGATCGGATCTTTGGAACGTGTTCGCGGATCTTTTGATTCAGATCTGAATGCTGGTTCGTGAATCATTATCCAAATCGGGATTTCGGAGTGCGTGTCGCGAATCTTTTCTGATTTCTTTCTTTTATTATTTTTATTAAACAGTAGAAAACACCAAACCATTAAGGCAGTACAGGTATAAAAACGAAAGAAAGTATACACAGGGTTAAAAAAAAAAAAAAAATTCTATGTAATAAATGGACTCATAGGATGAATATAGAGATGGGATTAACAGAACTTTAGATAGGTTCCATATACTTGTCTAGATCAACTCTGAATAAAGTATAGAGAGATTTTTTATAGAGTAATTTTTTTGCTTATGTATGTGAAATTTAGCTAGCAGGAAACACAAATTAATTATGTGATATTTCCCAATATTCTCTTTTGAGTAGTCAAAGAATCCAAAGAAAACATCTTTAAAACAGAAATAATGGTCACAGGAGAGAACTATAATATATAGTAGTATATAATACAGTCACAGAATTAATTGAGTCTTTATACATGACAGTATATGTCCCAAATGTTGGCAGAAATGCCAGCTGCACACACAGTCAGCGCGGTGTGTAGTGAGGCGCAGTGCGCATGCGCAGTTCGCCATATTATTGCGCAGCAGGGTGTGAGGCGGCGCGTCGAAACCATCGCGGCTACATGTTTATTTTCGCTGCGCGCAGTGACTGGTTTTGCCCTCCTGTTGATAAAATATTGCGCCAAATCACGTCTAACAGAGTTCTCGCTCAGATGACGATCTCTTGACATCTGTTGTCGCTTTAAATCGTTGTAGATATCGCGTTAGTCCGGCTGAAGAGTGCTAAGCGCGCTAGCCGCTAACAAGATTCACATCAAAACCGTCAAACCTGGACAGATTCGTTCACAGGAGACATAACAGGTATGTTATTTCAATACCCGCTTTCATATTTAAATGTGTTTTGTTTGTCTGTATCTCAAGTTTAGGTCTGAAGTAACTTAACCGTCGCTCGTGTGCTAGCATGTAGCAGGTTATGCTAACACGCAGATCTCACGTTGTTTACATTCTCTTCAGCTCATTTATACATCACTGTCAGCACATTCACGAGTTCACGACACGTCTACACCTGTATAAGACTTCGCAGCAAAGTGTGTGAAGGAGTATTGCGGTGTGAGACGCTTTATCCGATTAAACTCTCAGTAAACACCATGTTTGTGCTGTCAGTGTATTGATCAGATTCACTTTATAAGTACAGCTCTATAATAAGATTTATTGTAGGCGCTTATATTTGCTTTAAACAACTCCAGGCATGTGTTTACTTTGATGAACAAGCACATTTAGCTTTAGTAAAACCAATATCCTGATATGAAATTGATTTCCTGACATTATATATTACTATATTATTTTATATTATCTATACACACACTGCTGTTCAAAAGTTTGGGATCTGTAAGATTTTTATTACTTTTTAAAGAAGTCTCTTCTGCTCATCAAGGCTGCATTTATTTGATCAGAAATACAGAAAAAACTGTAAAATTGTGAAATATTATTGCAATTTAAAATAATAGTTTCTATTCTAATATACTTTAAAATATAATTTAAGTAAATGCTGTTCAATTAAAAAAAATTTATTCATCAAGGAATCTTGAAAAAAGTATCACAGGTTCCAAAAAAACAAACAAATTAAGCAGCAGCAAAAACAATGTTTCCAACATTGATAATAAATCAGCATATTAGAATGATTTCTGAAGATCATGTGACACTGAAGACTGGAGTAATGATGCTGAAAATACAGCTGCGCATCACAGAAATAAATTACAGTTTAAAGTATATTAAAATAAAAAACCATTATCTTAAATGATAATAATATTTCACAATTTTACTGTTTTTACTTCTGTATTTTTGATCAAATAAATTCAGCCTTGATGAGCAGAAGAAACGTCTTTAAAAAACATTAAAATTCTTTCTTTTCACAGACTTTTGAACGGCAGTGTATGTAATGTGTATTTTTATATACTATTGTATTTTCTATGTATGTGAATATATATATATATACACATATATATACATTTATTATTTTACATACATTTTATATTATATTAATGTTACTATAATGTGTTTTATATATTTAGTATTTTACATATATATATTTTTTTATTCAAATTATAAAAAAAAAAATTCTCACAATTCAGAGTTTACATCTCGCAATTCTTACTTTTTTCCCCCCAGAATTGCATGATATAAACTAGCAGTTGTGAGTTATAAAGTCGGAAATGCGTGATATATGCTTGTAAAAAAAATGTCAGAATTGTGAGCTGACTTTTATTTTTCAGAATTTGACTTTATAACTCGCAGTTGAGAGTTCATATCTCACAATTCTGAGAAAAGAAGTCACAATTCTGGGATGCAAACTCAGAATTGCAAGAAAAAAGGCAGAATTGGGAGATAAAAAGCAGAAATTACCTTTTCTTTTATCCCGTGGTGGAAACAGGCTTCCATAATATATCTATGTTTATCAACTAATTTTAAATGTTTTCTGTAAAACCATGCGGAATGATCAGTCGCTCATTAACGTTCTCAATCCTTCCGCAGGGGACGTTTGGATGGACCCTTCACTGGCGCCAGTGTATTGCTGAAACGAGTTATTAGCGGCACACGGGAGCCTCTCTGAGGCCGATAACCAGCGCAGGATGTCCATCACAAACACACCCACCAGTAACGACGCCTGTCTGAGCATCGTGCACAGTCTGATGTGTCACAGACAGGGCGGCGAGAGCGAGACCTTCGCCAAACGGGCCATTGAGAGTCTGGTGAAGAAACTGAAGGAGAAGAAAGACGAGCTGGATTCGCTCATCACCGCCATCACCACCAACGGCGCTCATCCCAGCAAATGTGTGACCATACAGAGAACGCTAGACGGCAGGCTGCAGGTGCGACAGGACTGCTTCCACACTCTTCAGATTAGTGGTCGACCGATATTGGCTTTTTGACAGCCGATGCCGATATCTTGGAAAGCAGGGTGGCCGATATAATTGTATTTATTTTAATTAATATTTAAGACATTTGAAAATGGATTAAAAAATTAATTTGTAACAGCCCTGGTTTAAAGCATCCAATATGCACGGACCGAAAGTCACGCAGAGAACACGCGATCACGCAGATCACATGCACACTTCAACTGGATTCGACTAAGTCTGCAAGTTTTGTGAAATTAAATGTTCATTTGTCATTCAAAGATTTGTTTAAATGATATAAATGCGTATTTGCGGAATGCTGACGGCAAACGAGAAAGTATTATAATGTTTGCCTTTCTATTACTATTAATAATATAAAAGCAATCGTTATGATACTTTTTGTATACATTTTAATTACTTTGTTTAACAGTTCTATCGGATTATTAGACAGACTTCTATCCGTATTAGACAGAACTGTTAACGGCGAACAAGAGGGAGAATATGAGCACCGTGTGCGCAGGCGCAGAAATAAAAGTCCCGCCTTGAACGCATCGGCCAAACAGAAAACGTATCGGCCGATGCCGATATTTGAGAAATGCCAAATATCGGCCGATATATCGGTCGACCACTACTTCAGATTGTATCTGTCTATATATGTGTGTGTTCCTGTAACTCTCTTCTGCATTTAGGTGGCTGGTCGTAAAGGATTCCCACATGTCATCTATGCACGGTTATGGCGATGGCCGGACCTTCATAAGAACGAGTTGAAACAAGTCAAGTACTGCCAGTTTGCCTTTGACCTGAAGTGTGACAGCGTGTGCGTGAACCCTTACCATTACGAGAGAGTCGTGTCTCCAGGAATAGGTCCGTTTGATGTTTGTTTTAATAGCGTGAAGCTCGTTCACGATGGCCTCGATTTAAGTAAACTTATCCTGTGTTTTCTTCCAGACTTATCCGGACTCACACTGTCAGGCTCTGGTGAGTGATATTCTATTGAAAAAGAATTGGTTTCTGGGTGTTTTTTGTCGAGATTAATCCAAATTAAAAGGGATAATTCACCCAGAAATTAATATTTACCTGCCCTCATGTTGTTCCAAACCTGTATGAGTTTCTTTCTTGTGTGGAACATTAAAAAAGATATTTTGAAGAATGTTGGTAACCAAGCAGGTGATGGTCACTATTGACTTCCATAGTAGTTTTTTCCCCATACTATGGGAGTCAATGGGGACCATCTACTGTATCTATAAATATCTGTAAAGACATGCATACGGGTTTGGAACAACATGAGGGAGAGCAAATGATGACTGAATTTTTATTTTTGGGTGAAATGTCCCTTTAAGGGCACAGACAGTAGCAGATGTATTAGGCTGCTGTCACTTTAAGACCCACTATTATGTATATAAACCCATTTTTAATTTACATACAAATATACAGTGCTTAACAAATTTATTAGACCATCACCACCCAATGTAAGGTTTGTGCCGCTGCTGCCCTAATATAATTACTGTTGTTATCCATGAATTTTCTAATTGACTGTTTAACAAGAAAGGCAGAAAAAATAGTAAAGCACTTTATTATTATTATTTAATTCAGATGCCCAATTAAAGTCAACAACAGCAACAGAGACTGTGGAAAAGTACATAAAACCAGTGCAGCAAAAATGCAAGCTGTTATCAAGGCCAAAGGCCATGCAAAATATTACGTTTTTTGGTTATTATATGTGAATAAAAACTATTTAGTTGTTTCAATTTGTTATTTGCCTAATAAATGACAATAAAATTTTTAGTTTTAAGCTGTTTTTGACAGATTCCTAAAATATTTGTTTTCTCTTTAATAAAATTAAGCACAAACTGTATTTATTGACTGTAATTGGGCATCTGAATAAAAAATTTAATAAAACCGTACATTTGAAAATTCATGGATTTTAGCATTAGAATCACTACTGTGACTTAAGAGCTTTCACACACTGGAGGATTTACCATTACAGAAACATAAAAAATTATTTTGGTAATCACCAATACTGTTAGTTTAGGGCAGCTGTGGTACAAACCTTATATTACAACTTTACTAAGCACTGTATATACACAAAAATCTATATATAAATACTATACATATATATATGTGTGTGTGTGTGTATATATGCATGTGTGTGTATATATATATATACAGTGGGTACGGAAAGTATTCAGTATAGCAGGTTTATTAGACTACTGTCACTTTAAGACCCAATATTATATGTATTTTTTTTGCACTGATCCAATTTATGGACACACATCCGATATTGTAATAACCCAACTGTTCATGTTCATTTAAGACATAACCGACTGTGTTTACGTGAATACTCACCAAAACTGACATTTCAACATAATTTTGTGTGTATTTGTCCATTCAAGTGCGATAAGAACTTCGCTTTTATTCTTCGATGCAAAGGTCAATAGATTTTTGTTATAAATTCTGTCATTTAAAACTTTTTTTTTTTAGTTATCGTCTCGTTTTTGTCTGTGGAAAAAAATGTTGTTGATGAAAACTGACGAAAATTCAATTCGAAGAGTCAAAGAAATTCATACTGTTGTGAATTCTCCTAAAGAGTCAAAAAAGTGCAGTCAGCGTGTAATGACTTGCCTCCCGTCTGAAATGACCATCAGTGACCGTTTTTAGCATCCAGATGCATCAGATGCGGGTTCATTTTGGCGTGTTTGCAGGTCCGTCGGGTCTGATGGTGAAGGATGAATATGATTATGAAGGCCAGCAGTCTCTTCCCAGCACTGAGGGACACATGCAGACGATTCAACACCCTCCCTCTCGACCGATGGCCCCGGAGCCCTTCAACACGCCCGTCATGCTCCCGCCAGCAGAGGGCAGCGGCTCGGCCTCCACCTCCGCCTTCTCCAGCATCGCGGTGGGATCCGCAAGTACGACACGTCACAGTCCCTCCCTCATATCCTCAAACGCATAGGCCATGCTGAAAAGCTTTCTCGTTTGTGGAGGCGTCGTATTCTTGATTGGTGTTTAATAGGGCTGGGCACCGTAGAGCTTCTGCTGTAGCGTTTGTACCTTTTACGTTATTTACACACCAGAACGACACGGAAACGAGCTAATGCGAAAACACTGGAGTGGGACGTGTTGAGCAGCTTCCTGTAGATGTGAATGTGCAAATCCAAATGTGTCCCTGGAGCACAAAACCAGTCGCTGAGGTATATTTGTAGCAATAGCCAAGAATACATTGTATGGCTCAAAATTATAGATTTTTCTTTTATGCCAAAAATCATTAGGATATTAAGTAAAGATCATGATTCTTGATTGGTGTTTAATAGGGCTGGGCACCGTAGAGCTTCTGCTGTAGCATTTGTACCTTTACGTTATTTACACACCAGAACGACACGGAAACGAGCTAATGCGAAAACACTGAGTGGGATGTGTTGAGCAGCTTCCTGTAGATGTGAATGTGCAAATCCAAATGTGACCCTGCAGCACAAAACCAGTCGCTGGGGTATATTTGTAGCAATAGCCAACAATACATTGTATGGCTCAAAATTATAGATTTTTCTTTTATGCCAAAAATCATTAGGATATTAAGTAAAGATCATGTTCCATGAAGATATTTTGTAAATTTCCTACTGTAAATATATCAAAACTTAATTTTTGATTAGTAATATGCATTGCTAAGAACTTCATTTGAACAACTTTAAAGAAGATTTTCTCAATATTTAGATTTTTTTGCACCCTCAGATTCCAGATTTTCAAATAGTTGTATCTCAGCCAAATATTGTCCTATCCTAACAAACCATACAGCAATGGAGAGCTTATTTACTCAGCTTTCAGATGATGCATAAATCTCAATTTAGAAAAATTGACCCTTATGACTGGTTTTGTGCTCCAGGGTCACATATGCAAATGTATTTCTGTGCATTTACACTGCATTGAAGGCATACATTTGATCAGTTCATGCATTCCCTGGGAATCTAACTCATGAGCTTCTCGTTGCTACCGAATATAGACTTCAGCTGTTGTAAGGTATAAAACATAAATGCATCAAATGCATCTATGCATCAAAAAACAACTATTATTAGTGATGCACCATAATCAAAAACACAGAAAGCTGTCATTAAAGTTTTTGTTTAGCTAAGTTCATTTAATATTCAATTCATCAAATGTATTCAAATGAATCAATACTCTACTTCAATACTACAATAAAAATGTCGTATATAATATTTTTAATTGCACACAAGGCTGTTTCAGTTTTTATATCAGCTTTTTAATGATATTTTAATTTGTTATTGAAATACTGTTGTTGAAGCATTTAACAGTGGCTGTAATAACTTGTTCACGACAGATTTATTCAAACATACATTAGGTTAAGATTAAAATATGAGTATGTAGTGTTTTTGTGTAGATGTGTTATACTAAATTACATACTCAATGATTTTCTCAATATTTAGATTTTTTTGCACCCTCAGATTCCAGATTTTCAAATAGTTGTATCTCGGCCAAATATTGTCCCATCCTAACAAACCATACAGCAATGGAGAGCTTGTTTATTCAGCTTTCAGATGATGCATAAATCTCAATTTAGAAAAATTGACCCTTATGACTGGTTTTGTGCTCCAGGGTCACATATGCAAATGTATTTCTGTGCATTTACACTGCATTGAAGGCATACATTTGATCAGTTCATGCATTCCCTGGGAATCGAACTCATGAGCTTCTCGTTGCTGCCGAATATAGACTTCAGCTGTTGTAAGGTATAAAACATAAATGCATCAAATGCATCTATGCATCAAAAAACAACTATTATTAGTGATGCACCATAATCAAAAACACAGAAAGCTGTCATTAAAGTTTTTGTTTAGCTAAGTTCATTTAATATTCAATTCATCAAATGTATTCAAATGAATCAATACTCTACTTCAATACTACAATAAAAATGTCGTATATAATATTTTTAATTGCACACAAGGCTGTTTCAGTTTTTATATCAGCTTTTTAATGATATTTTAATTTGTTATTGAAATACTGTTGTTGAAGCATTTAACAGTGGCTGTAATAACTTGTTCACGACAGATTTATTCAAACATACATTAGGTTAAGATTAAAATATGAGTATGTAGTGTTTTTGTGTAGATGTGTTATACTAAATTACATACTCATTACATTTTAATTAAACCTAACCTTATGTATGTAACAATATAATATAAAAACATAAAACGCATCCATTTAGCCAAAAACCGAAAACAACGTTTATTTAATAATCAATTATTAATCAGATATATTTTGATTAAATTAAATTTAACTCAAATAAAAAATGAGTTGTATATAAAATTAAAATTGCACATTTTTACATCAACACATTTGCACATTTCATTAATTTGTTTTAAATGTTTCATTATTTCACATTAAAGAGCGACAAAACCACATTTATTTTGTTTCTTGTTTGTGTTTCATATCAAAAGTGAAAAAAGCACAAAGCTTAATGCGATTATTTGATGGTAGGCATGCAATAATTAATGTTGAGTGAAGTTTTGTTCATGCATCAACAGAAAACAGCACAGACTAAAAGATTTTGCTTCATCAGAATGACAAATCTACATTGTTAATTCAGTCCTAGCGTTCACACAGCTGGCTTGTTTACCTGTTGTAGTTCATCCACGTCGTGTGCATGCAATTAAACCTGATTTTAGCTCTCCAAAATGGTTTCAGTTGGCAGGATTTTAGTGCATCGCTATATATTATGATTCGTATCGATGCCGTGATATTAAATCGCTCGTACAGTGATGCACGCTTGTGGTGTGTGCTGATGTGTGCATGGGTCAAAGACGAAAAAGGGTTTAAGCATAAAAACAATAAGTGTAATACTGCTTTAAATTGTTGTTGTTTTTCCCCAAAAAATGTCAAAAGTTTTCGGTTTAATTTAATTGCAATTTTGTTTTTGTTTTTCTGAGCAAAAAATAAATATCATACATTTTTTCCCTGATTTACAGAAGAGACCCACTAAAATGTCATTCAGTGTAACAATCCTGTCAGG